GAGTTAATTTTTTCCATAGTAGCTAGTATGGAGCTATGTTTTGGATTTGTGCCAGAAACTGTTGGTAATGCAGAGATGTTTTTGTTACTGCTGAGCAGTGCTTACACAGAGTCAAGGCCTTTTCTGCTCCTCACCCCACCCCACCAGCGAGGAGGCTGGGGGGGGCACAAGGAGTTGGGGGGGGGACACAGCCGGGGCAGCTGACCCCAACTGACCCAAAGGATATTCCAGACCATAGGACATCATGCTCAGTATATAAAGCTGGGGGAAGAAGAAGGAAGGGGGGGACATTCGGAGTGATGGTGTTTGTCTTCCCAAGTAACTGTTATAGGTGATGGAGCCCTGCTTTCCTGGAGATGGCTGAACACCTACCTGACTGCCCATGGGAAGTGGTGAATGAATTCCTTGTTTTGCTTTGCTTGTGTGCATGGCTTTTGCTTTACCTATTAAACTGTCTTCATCTTAACCCATGAGTTTTCTCAGTTTCTCACTCTTCTGATTCTCTCCCCCATCCCACTGCAGGGGAGTGAGCAAGCAGCTGTGTGGTGTTCAGTTGCCGGCTGGGGTTAAGCCATGACAATATACATATATGTATATTCTGAATGAGTTGGAGTGTTTTTCCTGCTCCCCATCCTTACCTGAGACACCTCTGGCTATGTGCCAAGGCCCACCCTGGTCCTACAGTTTTGTGTCTGTCTCCTCTTTGTGCACAGACCTGCCTGCTGCTGCTTCTGTGTTAGCTTGCAGGGCTCAGGAGCAGCACGCTTTGTCAGCAGAAGAGGGGTCGTGGTCAGCCCAAAGCACAGTAGACACACCGAGGAGCATGAAAGGAACTGTAAATGATTCTCTACTCGCATCAGTTCTACTCGTGCAAGTGGCTGCTGGACATACTTCCCCCTGAAAATGCTGTCATCAGCGTATTACCATGTGGCTAAAGAGTGTTAGTTTTTATGGAGATTGATGGGATTTGTGGTGAGGCTATAGCCCACCATGATGTAGAGAGCTGACACCCCCACGCTAACACTAACCTGGACAGGGAGTCCTGAGCTGTAGTGCCACGTTTCTCCTGTCTCTTCGTCTGTGAAAGTATTTTTAATAAGGGATGATTTTTTAGCCTGAGCTAAATGGACAGCCTGGGCTTTCTGGACCTGAGCTGGCACACAGGGACAGTACTTCTGGCTCCAGAGTTAGCATGAGTGGGGCCAGCTCAGGTGTCTCCGATGTAACGGACAGGTATAAGACCTTAGACTTACCCCCTGCATTCACAGCGTAGGGCTACTGAGATGTTGTCCTCTGGATGACAGGGTCCAGCCATTGTCTCTGGTAGTCAGCAAGACAGAGGTCAGCATCTCTTTCAAATAAGAGAAGGTGCACCCAATATTTTCAGAAATACTCTTACTCCCATGAAAAGCCAAATCTTGTAGCTTTACTCAGATGAAAAAACACATTTTGATTCCTGGCTATGAACTAAATAAGGAACACTAGACCTACCTCTCCTAGAGGGAATGTTGTCACCATGATGCTCCAGGGGTTTCCTTTCCTCTTTTCCAATGCTCAGGGCTGTAGCTGACTGGTTACTGAGTGACTGATGGGTGTCAACCTCTGTTCACTGTACCACAACTATCAGATTGTGTAGAGAGATCTCAAATGCCCTGGATGCAGCAGAAACTATAAAAAGGCAACAAGTCCAAGGCATTTGTGGGCTGTCTACCCACAGGGATCCCAGGGAAATGTATGTTTGTTACCTTGCTTTTGGAGACTAGCGCTAATATTGAGAGATTTTCTTCTTCTATGAAAGCATTTTTCACAGTGCTTAGATTCACGCATGAAATCATCTTTATTTGGAGCGGCAGTCTGATCAATTACGAAGGTAATCCTTCACTGATGGAAACTGAGAAGTGTCCATAACACTTGCTCTGCAAGGCTTGCAGAAGCATTTATCGCTTGTTCTGGGCCAGGATTTTGTAGGCAGCCAGTATCAGGGTTCTTAATTTAACCACATCAGCATGTCTTAAATCTGCCTTGAGCTGTAGCTCTTCTGAAATCCTTTGCTGTTGATAAATTTCTCATTCTGCTGTCCATGAGCAGCTTTCTCCTTGACATTCACATTCAGTTCTAATCAGATTATAAAAGTAAAACATCACATACAATATGTGAAAACAGCTCTTCCCAGACAATTTGGAAATGCTCTGCCAAGTACTTTGATGCTGTTCCAGTAAACACATAAAAATCATTCACCCAAGAACTTTCAACAAACTGCCACTAAAAAAGGAGGGAAGCACTTTCCTCTGCATCGCTCTTGGTGCTAAAATGCAGGAAGGCAGTGGCAGGTCCCTACTCCAGCGTGGTCCCCTTTACACAAGCACTCAGGTGCTGGGCCAGGGTGACTTCCCATTCACCAAGGAGCATGGACATAGGCTTTTGTAAAGCTCTGTGTACAAAAGAAGGTAAAATCCGCCTGGGTATGTCCCTGCCATGTTTGGGTCAGTATGTTCCAGTGGTTACTGACTGACGACATTGTGTGTAAGTATAGACCTAGGCACAAAGTGATGTGAAGAGACCTGAGATACAGAACAGCCAAATGCCAAATTCTCCATCCAGTTTTGTGAGGCAGGCCTGTGTACATAAGCAGGGCTGTGTGTAACCATGGTATTAACATATATAGAACAGATGATAAGATTTTGGCTGTCTGGTCTAATTCCTTGCCAAGTTTCCAGTAGTTTAATCATGATCTAATTTGAAATAATTAAATCAGTTCTGTTTTTTTAGAACTGCTTTTTCACCTCTAGGGCTATGCATACCATCACTACAATCATAGCTAGAATAATTTTTATAATAACCTATAATTTTAAGTGATCAAATTTACAAAATCCTCTGTAAACAAAAATCACCAAAGCAGATTAGTAACTGGTGATCCTGAACTCTATCCCAACAGTTGTGCCATAAGGTGATGTAGAAACCATGGGTCTAAACTTGTGAGTTTTATAAAGCTGGTGTGTAAAGTTTAAATCCAGATCTGTACCTAGAATTCATTTTTTTAAATCCACGTTACATCTTCCATCAGATTCCTGGCTGACGAAGCATCTTAACCTAAAAGTGCTGAAAATCTCCATCTGATTTTCTAGTGTGACCATTTATTATCTTAAACCAATCCACAAATTAAACACAGGCAATATGAGGGAAAAGTGTGGGCTGAGTGGAAATGTAGAGACACATGTTTTATATTTGGTTTGGTTTGTTAGAAAACACTAGGTTCTTGACTTCTGCTCTATTAAAAAAATAAAATAATTCCACATGATGGAAATTCACAATCCAAACCTTATTCTGCATTTCTTGTACAAATTCCGTGTGAGTTTTAGTACAAATAATAAATAAAATGTAAGAATTGAACTACCCACTTTTGTAAAATCAGTTGCTTCAAATATCTCCAAGTCTAAACAACCATGGCATAAATCTTTCTAATGAATGGACATGTGCAGACACAAAAGCTTGGGGCTTTCATTTTAAACTAAAGGAACTCTCTGGCTTCAGCTAGCGAGAGCATGGGGTTTTTTTCGTCAGATTTTTCTCATATTCTTAAAATTGTATTTGTATTCAGTTTCATTTGAATATGTTTTTGATTTGCCCAAACAGCAGATGAGTATCATAAAGAGTCTGCATTTAACTTGGCACTTTCCATTCCACATTCCTTTACTATTCATAGCACAGCAGTCATACTCATCTTCAGTACACATAAAAGGAGGCAGTTTGACTTGCAGCTGTAGATCGCCTCAAATGTTTGAGTATTTACAAACTCACTTACAGCATTGGGTTTTTTTTATGTTGAGAAGACCAGATACTAGATATAGTGGGTGGATTTTTTTTTTGTCTCTACAACTCTCATGAAATGAGAGACAGTGGGACAGACATTAAACCTGTGTCTGTAGTAAGGTACCCCTGTACTTAAAATTAGATTCATGTAGAGCCCAGTTCATACAGGGAGAGTAGGTCTATACATAGGCAGAAGAATTTGCTCTTGAAGACACAGTTGTGGGATCTCAGCCTAAACTGTCAAGCAACATAAAGAATAAAATATTCATCTGATTGAACAGGAAGACTACCTAAAATGTGTAAGAATGAAGGCATCTGTGCTAGAGCAATGCCTTTTTATTACTGGGGCTTCACAAGGAAGAATTTCATCCTTTTGACTATTTGTGAGCAATATATTTTTTCTTCAGTTGCTAGTAGATAGCAAAATATGTTAAAACCAATTTTCTAAATGTCTTTGAAAGTTTTCTTTCAAATTGATTTGTCTTTGACAGAAAGTATTATTTCTACTTACTGTACTTTCAAGCAAATATAGTCAATGATTATTATTTTTTCTTACAGATTCAAACATGCAACATACTTCTAAAAAGTAAGGTCTCAAGTTTGGGGTTTTTTTGTATACAAGCTTGGACTGTGGAAATAGGTTTTTTTCCTTCATAGTATCCTTCAGTTTGTGTGCTTTTCCAAAGCCTAAGGAAGAAGAATTTAATCTCAAAAATTAGCAAACAGATTTTTGGTACGTAAATTAAATTTCTGTAAGACTCACAATCTATCTATTGCTTATGACTACGTAAGAAAAATGTATTAATTATGACTATGTATGAAAAATGCTTCTTTAATGATTATGACTATGTATGACAAATGCTTATTCCTTAGAAATACAACACCTCCTACTGAACTCATAAATGTGCTTTATTTTCGATATGTTATCAAATGGTTGGGTTTTTTTCTCTTGCTGTGACTAGCCTAAGCTTTCTACTATTCAAAAATCCTGGCTTTCCAACACATATGTAGCTGGAGGCAAGCACTCTAACATTTCACAATAAACTCAGCATACTGAAAAATATATACAAAGATTTTCCTTTACTATAATATAAATACAGCCACATGCTTACTACACTCCACAGCATTGCTTGAATGGTATTGTTATATTGAGAATGATTTTATCTCACCAATAAACTATGGACAAGGTTCTAGTTCTTTCCCGGTGCTTTCTTCATTTCAACAACCAAAATGCCATCATGGCAGAAAAGCGCAGACAAGTCTTTGTTCTCCACTCCATGAGGTAATTTGTACTGCCTGGTAAAGCTTCTGGATACGAAACCATGTTCATCCATCCTGGGTCCGTGCTGAGCTTTGATCAGGAGCCAGCCTTCAAAAGTCTGAATAATGATATCTTCAGGGCGGAACTGCACGACGTCCAGCAAGACCTGAAAGCGTGTGTTTTCCTCCTCCTGGCCACTCTTCCCAGCCCCAGACGTACTTTCTGTGGTACACCTTCTGTTGCTCAGTGCAGCCATAGAAGGGCCCGGCAAAGCATATAAAGAGTGGTCCAGTTTGTGTGCTTCCAGCTCTTGGACAGCAAACTGCTCTTGATAGCGTATGGGAGTTTCCACCCAGTGTCTTATAACAGCTTCTGCCATTGCTGAAGCAGAAAGATAAGTTGCTGCTCAGGTCGCTTTGGGGAAGCTGCAGAGTCAGAGCAAACTCTTCCCAATCATATGCCTTACCCTCAGGCTAGTTTAGTGGTTGATGTCGCCTTTCACTTTTAGCACAGGCAGACCTTAACATTTAATAGGGCGTGCTGTGCTCCAGTGCCAGGAGACTTGTTTCATCTTTTATCCACTAACAATAGAGCACTATTTATAGTTCTGGGGTCTTGAGTGGCTTCAACACATGCACAGTTTTCATGCATAAGTAGTAAAAGCAAAATTTTAATGCACCTCCGATTATTGCAATATTGTGCTGTTTGACATTGAGAATGTTTCTTTGATTTGAATGGAAGCTTAATAATTCTGTTTTTCCAAGGGATATAGGGCAATATATGCAAACTCTGTACTTCTAACTGAAATTCAAAGTTACTGAGGGAAGGGATTTAATTAGCTTGACAGAAGAAACGAAGCAGATTTCAGATTAGGTAAACTGTAAAATTATCAAGTGCATTGGATGTTGTTGCAGAAGTTGTGCATGGGTGAAATACGGGCATGGTTAACCATGTCATTGGCAGGAGGAGGGAACTTGCCTGCCCAAAGAGGGGGTGCCTGAAGGGCTGAGTCTGCAGTCTTAGTGACCTACAAGCAGCAGCGTGTCAGGGAGTCAAGACTCAAGTGTGCAGGGAGAATTGCAGTGAAAGCTCATGTTTCACAGCTTCCAGGAGAGGGCAGTTACTTTTCCCCAGCAAAGCAGTAAAGACAGTTCCAAATCCTTAATGCTATCACATTGTCCCAGTAACCTTCATCTTCTGGAGCTTAACAGCTTTAATCTATGATCCCATCTACTGCATATGTCTGGGGAGCAGGACTGATGACCTCAAAGGCTCTCTGTGGTGTAATCTTGCTACTCTGTGATCTCAGGGCAAATAATGCCTACAAGTGTTAATAGTTTGGTTAACAACATCTATGAGGAAAGTGCAGTGAAAAGGGAAAAGCATTTCCAAATTTTAGTATGTTTGCCAGAAAATCCCTCTAGCTGGGCTTGGTAATGTAAAGCAGAATGCACTATGGCAACTGATGGTGAAAATGTTTCTTTCCCTCCATTGCACTAATGCTAGAAATAATCAAACAAGAGACTTTTATCCCTTCTTATTTGGTTATTGTTGTTCAGAGCTCTGACTCTCTCTTGCCCTTAGATCTTCCATTACCATGAAAATGGCAAGTCAGTTTATATGGGAACTTTGGTTGTTAATGGAGTCACGAAGAAAGAGGCAGCTGAATTTTGATAGCTATCAGAAATTAACTTCTGTATTGAGTTGATAGCAGAGCACAATTACTGGACACATCTATAATTAAAGTTCTAAGGTTGCTATTTGATTTTAGGGTCATGAAGGCTGCATCACAAGGTAAGGAGACTTTCAAAGGTAGCTGAAGGGTTCAAGATAACTTACACTAATGGGCAACCATTTAATTGAATATTGTGGGAAAGGAGAGTTATGCTACTTTATTTAACTATTGGCTCATCTCCTGTCAAGCTGTCCTCCAGAAATCATTTAAAAATGCAATTCCGAATGTATGGCTTGCTAAAATAGTGATAAAAATAACCTGGAGCATTGCCTGTTATCTGTTCAGCAGCTGTTTTCTGTTTTGCTAGCCAATGATTCATCTGATGAGGAAACTTTAACCCTGAAGTGAAGCAGTATGCCTGGTTGGTTGTGATAGCATGCTTTTAGAGATTGCTGAAAGTTATTACTGTCCCTACTGAATTCTGTGATGATAGCCTGACTTACTTTACTTCAATTTTGCACTTCATTAATAAATGTACTGTGCAGGAATACCGCATTCTTTTATTTTTTTTATTTTATTTTAATTATTCCCATCTTCTCTGGGAAAAGGTAAACTTGCCTATACTTACACTTTAAATGAAAACAGAAGTCACCACCTCAGTGCAGCTCACTGTGGGACAGCTGCATCTATTCCCAGAAACAGTTGCGTTAGTCTTTCAAATGTCTATGTTAAGCATACTTGGAACTGTCTGTCTGGTCTAATTAGCACAAAAGATGCTTTGAATACCCTTTAAATTCATGTCATAAGCAAAGCTCTACAGAAGTTTATAGGATCCCTTTCTACTCTGCAGGACAAGGAATCGGGGAGATTTTGGTAAGGAAGCCGTGTAGCCTCTTTCTGCTCTCCCATCCTGCTCTCTCCTCGGACCCAGTCCCCTCTTCTCTCTGCCACCTAAAGGATCGGGAATTAGCACCATCTTTCCTACATATGTCTTCGTTGCTGACATGGAGAATATGTCAATTGGAAAAAGAAAACACCTTTGAAATGCAAACATCCCAGCAACTTCAAATATATTTTTGGGCTTTCAAATTTAAATATGGATGTGGTGCTGCAATGCTGAGGAACTTTTGATGCTTACGGTGCTACACTCTTCAAATATCTATAGCACACTTCAGTTGAGAAATGCATATTAACAACAATTGATTACTGAGGCAATTTTAAACGTTCTGAGCAGATCTGGCAAGAGCAGGATCGATGTCCTTAATTGCCAGCTCAGTGCCTTGGGTTTTCTTTCCCGTTTTTCTTTCTGTGCGTGTGCATGTGAAGGCCTCGCCCCACGCTGCATGGTGGGCAGGAAACCACCATTTGCCGTGGGAAGTATTGCAGAGCGGTTCTTTGCAAAACTGAAGCCAGGCAATTAGTTATGGTGGCCTTGCAGTCCTCAGCCCACGCTCTCTTTGGCTGACCGCACATATTTACGGTCTCCGTATCTCCCGCGGATTCCCGAAGGACAGGGATGGGATCCATTGGCAGCTTGGAACAGCTGGCGGGGAGAAACCGGGTGCCCGCGCAAAGGGGTCACCCCGCCATCTTGTGGTCACACCGCCATCTTGTGGTGAGACGGGAAAACAGCTGCGAGAAGGGAACCGCGCGGGGCCTGCTGCCTGCTGGTGCCAGGCATCACCATCAGTCTGCGAAATACTTGTGCGGGAAGGCAAATCAAAGGCAGAAACCCCCAGGATTTCAACATACAACGGGCTATTTTCAAGCTAATATAAGCTTATTTCTCGGTATTTTTTGGGGGGGGGCGGGGGGGAGGCGGGATTAAGTATTTTATTCATGTTGAACTCGTGGAAAATACAGAAAGCAGGCATCCTGGTAAAGCTGTATTGTAAATTGCAAAAAATGTAAGGTGCACAAATTCATGAGAATAACACATTTTTTGATGCATATCGTAAAGAAGTACAGGTGCATCCTGCTTGACACGACTTTAAAATAATAGATTGCGTTGTTGCAATTCTCTGTCTGCTTGATTCCCCAAAGAGAAGTGTTTCAACTACCATTGAAATTCAGTAACTGCTGAAAGGGCAAAAAAATGAAAAGGCTGGCAGGATGAAGCGAACAAGAACACTTCTAGCAAAAGCTAATAGGCTGAATTCAAATGAGAGCGTTGTAATTATCCAAATGAATTTAGGCAGAGCACTGCAATTACTTTTACCAAAGCACCCAAGGATGCCACTCATGATCTACTTCACATGTCATTCAAAAGAGATGCTGTCACTTCAGACTTGGCAATATGTGAAAAATGTAAGGAAGAGTAGGACTTCATGGATTTTACTGGTACTGGCTCTGTTACACCCAATATGGGAGTTTAAGCTTTGTGGTGATGCCGTGAAAAGCCGAAATCAGGACTCAATAGTCAGGAGACTATTAAGCAGGTATCCTTTATGGCAGTGCTGGGCACACAGGGCATTTCTCCTCCTATTGTGTGCACCTGGACAGGCTAATTGTATCGTTTATATACAGTTCTATATACATATTAATCTGATTTCTGGGAACTCATTATCATATGTAAATGTCCTTCGTGCAGGCATACTCGAGGTCTCTGGTGGTCTTCAGGAATCCTCTGGTGGTCTTCAGTAGTCTTCCTCACTTGTCTGCTGTTTGACCCTTCTCGGATGATTCTGCGCAGTGCGATCTTCTGCATGTTTGATACATCTTATCCTAAAGAGTGCTCATTAGTGCTTCTATTATCTATGCTTACAGTTTGACGTAATCCAGATGGATACTTCAAAGGTAAGTTATTGGAGAGACCTAAAGTCCTAATCTTCTTCAGAAACTGCAAGGCCATCCAAAAGCAATTTCTCCTACATTTTGCAACATACAGAACTTTTATCTACCACCTGTTAGCAAATAATTGGGGAAAGAAATAGCAAGGCCATTGTATTCAGAAAAACATCTTTGCATCAGTGGTTATATGGAAGAGCTAGATAGTAAAATAAAATGTATGTGAGAATGGAACATGGGGGTGACACTTTGGGAAGCTGGATGGTAAAGAGCTATTTTCCACATGGTATTTAGTATATTTTTGTTGAGTGAGAAAATTATTGTCTCCTACTTGTGTCGCTTTTGAGTCCATTGCTACTTAGAGCTATGAGTTGTCCTTCTAGGTGGATTGTTAGATTTGGATATACGTGAGCTCTGAAGGAGTAAAAAATGTAATCACAGCTACCGCAAGTGTCTAATCAGCAGATACCAGGTGTTCTGTTTTCAAGAAATATCAAAGGATTCTTTTTTATTAATGTCTCATTCCAATCACATGATATTTATATTGGTCAGTGAATGACAACATAACCCTTTCTGCAGCAAGACTTCATGCTGTGTTACAAAATTTCTTGCAAGTTGTAAAGGCTTTGCTGTTACACAGCCAGCTTAACTGAAGGAAAGCTTCAGTCCATGGGTCGCGTCCTTCAAAACCTGGAAAAGGCTGGATCTGCCCAACCTCTTGGAAAATCTCTCCAGGGTACTGATGCTTGCTTGTAACTGCAAACTCGATCTCCTGATTTTAGGGGCCTCTTAAGAAGCAGAAAACTAATCTCAGCTTTTGCTGACTATTTGCTCACTTGTTAGGAAACTATGTAAGAAATATAAGTAACCATGGCAAGGACTATCATTTGGGCATGTTACATCCACTATTACAAGAG